TATGACTGATTAAGAACTACATAGTTGGAGGTTTGGGGTTTTTTCTTAAGAACTGATTTGCACATGACAGTTTTGCAAGTCTCAATGCAGTTCTGTTAATTTGTAAGAATTAATTGAAAATGCTATGCAAGAAGAAATGATGCTTTTCAGTGCCATGCAACTGAAAACCTGAGCACTGAAAACCTTCCAGTGTAAAAACTTGAAGTACTGAAGATCTCTTATGGGAATAAATTTGGGGATAAATAAAGGCAGCGAGGGGATTACTCCAGACAGCTTTTCCAACTGATTGAGATACAGCTTTTGCTGTCATGGTGCAAGTGGTTTGATAACTGTTCTTCGACATTTGCGATTACAGCTACAGCAGTAAACTTGGTTACTGGCTATAAAGAAGTGTGTAAGAGGGAGAGATCACCAGGGCATGTCAGTCACACTTGTATTGGTATTTTGGGCAATTTGTGGCAGACCCACGTAGTCATGTTGAATTTCCAGAGAGGACTTGCTTTTCTGCAATTTTCTTCTGTGTTTTATTTGCATAGGTCAGAGTCTTGCTAAGATCTTAACAGCATTCAGATTCAGCCATTAGTCATTAAGGAAACCATGATAACCTTTGCTAGTACAAGCTTTATTTAAATGCAGTTTTGGTTTATAATCCCTCAGAATGGTTTATTTTGAAGTCTGTGATCTCTGGTAATGTCAACTGAATGTGCTGGGTAAAACAAAATGACACTTTCTTTAGGAGAGAATTTCCTGCCTAGGAATATGAAGAGCAGTGTGTCAGAATGGCACACAAAGCCTTCCCTTGGACCTGGAGTCTGAATGCTGCTACATTACACATAAGTTCAGATTTAATCATCATCTTGCAGGTGATGATCTGAGGAATACACATGTACATACTATGATCTGTGCAATCCTACTTCTAGTCTTCTCACAGTTCTATTTGCAGGTTTACAGGCTTAAGAAGTTGCTTTACCTCTTTCTCATGTGTACAAACTTTACAGCATTTTCCTCTGTCCATCTCTCACTCCATCTGCCTTCTCTGCTTTAAACTCAGCAATTCCTTCTTGGTTATTTTTCTTACTGCATTAAGCGTCCAGCACTGTTCCTTTTAGTATTTGGCCATCCAGAAAACCAGAAATAGTTTGTACTTAAAAAGGCTTTCTCATTTTTAAAAATACTTGAAAAGATCTCCATAATAGACAGTAAAATGCTTTAATGAGTCTGTTTCCTGGTTAATTGAGTTCGGTTGTTTCATGCCCTTAGGATAAAGGCCAGAAACTAATGAGGATCATGTTAGACCTTGAAAGACAAGGCTTAGAAGCAATGGAAGATATCCTCACTCGTGCAGAGGTTCTGGATCCTGC